TTTTAGATATAACACCAATGAAAGCGTCAGTGAATAATCTGCACTTTTTGCCATAAATGACCAGTTCCTTCTTTTCAACAATTTTATTTTAAAAAATTTGCGACTTTTCCATATTTTTTTATTTTCTGTAACTTTTTGTACAATATAGCAATTTCTATCAATCAATTTATTTTTTCACCAGAAAAGTATTAGGTTTTTTGACATTATCTTATCACAGTAAGTTTGGCACAGAAGTGACTCTGAAAACTGCCGAATACTCGTACAGTATTCTTAGTAGGGCATATGTGTCGACACAGAATAATCTATCTGGAGTACTCCTCAGACTACTTTTAAAACACCGTTATCAACTGGAACAGAATTTCAAAAGCCAAACGTGCAGCTGCGGCTGGGGAACAAAGGTAAATTAAACTCTGCTTTCAAACACTCGCAGGCAGCTAGGGGACACTATATCGTTAAAAATACATGTTTATATTCGTAGTGAGATAGTGTTTGTTTAATTGTCGGACATAAGAAGCAAATATTTGTTATATCCAGGGAACTGGCATTTCCCCCTATAAGAACCACTGCTTGAAAAATGATGGTGGTCCCTGCTTCTTTGCAAACACTGTTCGACTAAAGGTGCATGTATATGGCTAAAGGATCCTGTCATATACTAAAGATAGGGATAAGGTTTTTTTTCTCATTTTTGTTTTACATATACTTAATTAGAGGAACACTCCAGGCACCAAAACAACTATTATATATAAATTAAGTTGTTATGGTGCCAGGAGGACCTCTGAGGCACTCTTACCTCACAGGTAAGCAAAAAGTTGATTTTAGCGGCAATGTCCACTCCCATTCAGTGCTGCATCCGGCTTCTAAATTTTCAGATTCAGGAAGCGCAGAACGCCATCGGGCAGGGGTGTCGCTGATTGGATGAGAGTGGTTGGCTGACTCTCTCAGCCAATCAGTGACTCCCCGTTCACAAAACTGTCATGGAAAAAGTATGTGGCACTCCGCGCTTCCAGCATCTGAAAATTCAGAAGCTGGATGCCATTTCGGGGGAGTGAACATCGCCGCTGGAGGCAACTTTGGGGTTAAACGATTCCAGAACGAAGCCTCCTCTGGGGGCCTCCTGGCACCATAACACCTTAATTTAAATGAAGTTGTTTTGGAGTCTGAGGTGTCCCTTTAAAAGTATCTATTTCCTTTCAATACTTGATGAAAGGTTTATTATATTAAAAATATTTTTGAGGTATCATTACACAATAATACCAACATAGGTAGTCACCTCATCCTATCCAATATTTACAGTGTCAAGAGGGGGTTAATGGTAGGCACAGAATCATATCTAACAAAATAAGCTCCAGGCAAGGGGTTAAAAAACAAAACCCAAAACAAAATCAACAACAAAACTGTTTAAAGCGGCAAATCCTATCGATCTGCATCACAGATGGTCTGTTTTTGAATTCTGTCAGGAAGCTTGCCACTAACATGAGCATCCTGCGTCATCCATTAAAAGGGAACTACTATTGACTGCATCCTTAGTGTAGAGTTCTACAATGTGTTTCCTGTCGGCCAAACCACCCAATGTGTGCAGAAGTCAATCATCCCATATTAACGGTTTGATCAGTTATGGCCTTTGGGCAGTATTCCAGCTATTGCAAACTTAAGGCGGCAGTGCTGTCATTTGGCTCGCCTTTGATTAAATTCATTAAACTGGGGTTTGTTTACATCCAAAATCCCTCGCATACTATATGGCACCTATAGAAATGTTCCATTGTCCAATGCATTGCCTAGTTCTGTGATATCTTTCTAACAGATGTTCTTAGTTCCAGTATTGAAAGGGTGCTGCATGGGTTCAGTACTGACCCCAATCTTCGTTAGGGCTTAATCTCTTCCTTCGCTTAACCCATTTCAGCTTTTACAATGTTACTGAACATTCCATGTTCTGTGGCTTGTTTTAAGCCAGACTACCCGAGCTATAAGAACAGCAGAGGTCTATGTTTTACAGTTTGACAACTCTGTCCTATAATTTTCCATTTACTGATCAATTCCTGGTTTAAAGGGACACTCATAGGCGTGCGCACGGGGTGTGCCGGGTGTGCCTGGGCACACCCTAATCCCGTGCGCCACGCATGGATCGAGGCCGGCAGGGAAGATCAAAATATCTCCCCTGCCGGCTCAAGCACAACAGATTGCCGGCGAGAGAGGCTCTGAAGAGCTCCGTTCCATTTGGATACGGAGCAAACAGCCTCCAGGCTGCACGCAGGGCAGCCCTCTCGCGATCGCTGATATTTTCAGAGCGTTGCCGTGGTAACCCACGGCAACGCTCTGAAACTCCAGCTCTCGCGAGAGAAAGGCATGGTCTGTACCCTGAGGAGGTACAGACCACATCACTAGCCCACTGGATCACCAGGGATGATCAGCAGCGTGCTCCCTCTCCCCCCCGCAAAGTAATAAGGTAACAAAGGGAAAGGGAAGTAAGTTTTTTTTAATTTTATTTAAATAATGAAACACTCAAAATATATACATAAACTATACCCCACCACTTACTCACTACACCCTATATACACACTGCACCTACACACATTATACACCTTATATACACCCCCTACACACTATACTCCCTATACATAACACTACACCCCCTGCACCTACACACACTATATACACACTACACACTATACCCTATACATAACACTACACCCCCTGCACCTACACATTATACCCCTATACATAACACTACACCCCCTGCTACTACACACTATACCCCTATACATAACACTACACCCCCTGCACCTAAACACACTATATACACCCTACACACTATACCCTATACATAACACTACACCCCATAACACTACACCCCCTGCACCTACACACTATACTCCCTATACATAACACTACACCCCCTGCACCTACACACACTATATACACACTATACCCCCATACATAACACTACACCTCTGCACCTACACACACTATATACACACTATACCCCCATACATAACACTACACCCCCTGCACCTACACACACTATATACACACTACACACTGAACCCCTATACATAACACTACACCCCCTGCACTTAAACACACTATATACACCCTACACACTATACCCTATGCATAACACTACACCCCTGCACCTACACATTATACCCCTATACATAACACTACACCCCCTGCTACTACACACTATACCCCCTATACATAACACTACACCCCCTGCACCTGCACACACTATATACACACTATACCCCCTATATACACACACTACACCTTCTGCACTCACACACTCTATACCCCCTATACACTGCACTCAATCACTACACAAACTCTATACTCCCTATAAACACACATATATTACTCTGCATACGCACACACACAAAAGCACTACACACTCTATACCCCTATAAACACCTCACCACTGCATTCATACTATGCCGATATACATCTCCTGTGCACCCACTGTACCCCTATGCACACACAACTCCCCTAAACACACACTACACCCCCTATTATTACCACACCAATACACACATGTGCACAACACCTATACGCATACACACAATGCCACCCCCTGCAACTCCTAGATACACGAAATACAGTCCTTACATGCAAACGCAACACACCACTAGGCACACACACTCTAAAGACCCTATAAACAGACACACACACACACACACACACACACACACACACACACATACATATAATATACAGCACAAAAACACACCTATACACTACAGGCCCCAGCTACATATTATACACCACAAACAGACCCCTTTACACTCTACAGCATAACCGATCTCCTTTACACACATGCAATCACATAAAAAAGATCCAAACACATATAACACCGCAGGGAGCATTCCCACACGTGCAAAACACATGTTAACAATCCTTTTCCACAAATGGGGACACCAGAGACAAGTCACTAGGACTTTTTCTCCATCAGACAGCACTGAATGCTCTGGTGGGGTATCACACTAACATAACAATTGGGAGGGCGGGGGGTGCTTGTCAATAGTGGCGATATAACGTGCCACATTTCTGGCCCACCCTTCCTAGTGGGCTGCTCTGCCTGGGCTGACTTTTTGTCCCAGTCCAGCCCTGTTCACCGGCCCACATGCAGGAGAGGACCCGGGGAGCTCTAGCCAGCAATTCCGCTGGGTTCCTCTCGCGAGGTCGGAGTGTTGCCACGGCCACGCTCAGATCTTGTGAGAGTGAACTCTAGCCCTGCAGGCTAGAGTTCACTCACTAGGACCACCAGAGTTCAGGCATGGCAGCAGTATATATATATACACACACACATATATACGCGACGTGTGTGTTTGTGCTTTAGGGTGCACACCCTAATGCAATAGGCTGCGCACGCCTATGGGGACACTATAGTCACCTGAACAACTTTAGCTTAATGAAGCAGTTTTGGTGTATAGAACATGCCCCTGCAGCCTCACTGCTCAATCCTCTGCCATTTAGGAGTTAAATCCCTTTGTTTATGAACCCTAGTCACACCTCCCTGCATGTGACTTGCACAGCCTTCCATAAACACATCCTGTAAAGAGAGCCCTATTTAGGCTTTCTTTATTGCAAGTTCTGTTTAATTAAGATTTTTTTATCCCCTGCTATGTTAATAGCTTGCTAGACCCTGCAAGAGCCTCCTGTATGTGATTAAAGTTCAATTTAGAGATTGAGATACAATTATTTAAGGTAAATTACATCTGTTTGAAAGTGAAACCAGTTTTTTTTTTCATGCAGGCTCTGTCCATCATAGCCAGGGGAGGTGTGGCTAGGGCTGCATAAACAGAAACAAAGTGATTTAACTCCTAAATGGCAGTGAATTGAGCAGTGAAATTGCAGGGGAATGATCTATATACTAAAACTGCTTTATTTAGCTAAAGTAATTTAAGTGACTATAGTGTTCCTTTAAGGACTACCCGTGGCATGATCAACTTGCTCATTATATTTCTATGACACACACTGCACAGATCTTTTTCACTAGAGTGTTAAAGTAACAAGTGGTGTGTCAGGAACAGACAAGGGAATTATATATTTTGGACCATGATATCGCCATAGTTACAAACAAAATTGTTGGATATTTTTTCTCAGATCTGTGAATGAACCCCATGCGTTTCTTAGATGGTGAATCGGGAAAAAATACAAACATGGAAATTCATTGCTAGGAATGAGTACATGAAGTCTGTGATTGTGCATTATATAAAACAGTCCAAACAATCCTCACATTGTGAAACATCACGGCCTCTTTTTTATCTGCCAGCATGCAGCGACGGGCGCCACCGTGTCCGTGGACTGAAGAGCACGAAAACATAGCCCGAATGCAGAAGCTACGCTGCGCCCAGACAAAACAAGAGATAAAGATGGCTAATAAAGAACTGGTACTGGTAAGCAGTGCAAATCCCTGTAACCCACTAAACGTCAAATCTCTGTGAGGATTTATGTTCAGAATCTACTTTCATGGGTTTATTTTTCTAACAGCGCAATAATATTAGGGATGTATTCATTAAACTGTAAATCGCAGAACATCAATAAGTTTAAAATATATATATATTTTTTTTAATAAAATAACTAAACTTGAATAATTCTCCTCCCACTCTTTTTGTCAATCATCATTTTATTGAGGCATAGTTACAATAATAATAAAGATTCACTATCTGACACATGCGCTTTAGTTCACTGGTCATATGCATTTACAAATAATATTTCAATGTCGGTTGAGCAGCGATTGAACAATTGTGAGTTTATATGTAAAAGAAACTACAGTACGAGACCCTCTAGGACAGGGCTGCCTTAAAAGATAGATCCCCAGATGTTTTAAAACTACAGCTTCCATGATGCTTTGCCATTCTAGTGGCACGCAAAGCATCATGGGAGTTGTAGGTCTACAACATCTGGGGATCGACATTTTGGGCACCCCTGTTCTAGGGTTTCTTATTGTGCCAATATACAATCCGTCTTGGAATTACAACCTCTTTTTGTTTTGTTTCTACAAGAAACGTTTAAGGTGAAATAAAGTGAAATGTTGAAAAACATTCAACATTTCTCAGATCCATTGCATTGTCCTACGAGTTGTTACATGAACAAACTCCCATCCCAGATGCGTGTCTGTCAAAATGTACTTTTATTCCGCAGGTCCGAAGGGCAGCTCTGAAGAGACTACTGAAGGAGGAACAAGAACAATATAGCAAGGAACTAAACAGCCAGGGAAAATGCTTTCATACCCAGAGGTTGTGAGATCACCGAAGCACACGCTTGCACAGCATTTTAAGTCCCACCTGAGATGCTGCATGTATCCATCAGAACATTAAACCTTGTCTGTATCCACATTTTTAGAGAATATCATATTTTTATTCATGCATAGTTTTGTTTTTATATGCAGTTGTTTTGAAAGAGCTTAATTTGGATGAAAATAAACAGCATAATAAATGAAACATGACAACAATACATTTAAATATAATACAAATTGTAGCCATGCATGGCGTCATTGTTATGGCACACTGGCAGCCAACAAGATTATCCAGTAATTCTTGAGCAGCCCCTGTGGACAGGCCCAGACTAAGATGCTAGTGAGAAGGCTCCCATGGTTCTTCACTGAAGTGTCAATTGTCAGGAATTTAAAGAATTTAAAATGTTAGTCCAAAATAGCCCAGTTGCAAACATGACTTGACATGAGAATTTTTCCAATTCAGCTATAATGGACTAAAGCTTAAAATGTGTGTGGCTGTGTTTGGAGGCTGAAGGAGCTGGATGCAGAATGGCTGAGCTTCCTGCTGGAAAGAGTAGTAAGTGCTTAACATTTATTCAGAAGCCTCCTTGAGAAATACTACTCCCCTACCTAAGCAGGAACACTTTGGCTCTGATTCAGCTTGAATTCCATATAGATCAGCTAGTGTTTGGTGCTGTATACTCACCTGTGGCCTACTAGCTGGAGCGAGGCAGGGGAAGTGGCCGATTCTCCGCTCTCTCGTGCAACCTTGAATTCTTGTGAGCCCTGTTCTCCCGCTCTGTTCGGTCCACTACAGCATTTCCTCTCGACTGGCTTCACACTACAGGCCCCCTGTGTTAGGGCATAGGAACACACAACTCTATCTACACAAAATGCCAGATGACTGTGCTGTGGCGGTTCCTTTCTGCCCTGCCAAACAGGCACAACCTCTCAGCAGCTTCCTAGACCGATTTGATCACCTATGTGCTGCGTTCAGGAAAAGTCTGCAGGCGATGCAGGAGGTGGAAGCAGGGCATGGGGACCATGGATGCAACCTCATTCTTCACCACGTGGTGTCTCAGCAGGAGTTCCTGGAGCAAGTCTGACTGGGCCTTTTTGGAGACTTGGCGAAGCTAAAATCTAAAAGTTCATATGCGCAACATAGTCGCCAGGCCCGAGAGAGCAGTGAGCCGCAATGAACAAACACCTCTGGGGGTCGCTCTTGGCCTCACATATCCTTATGGGGACTGAGCGATAGCTTTCTCTGCTCACTGGCTGTCCCATGGCATGTCAGCATTTGGCTGCCTGATTTAACTGTGCAGGGTCCTTGCCTTTAATGGCACATATACCATATGAGCATATTTAGCAAACCTCTTTAATGCTGTAGTTCTGTCCTAACTTGTATTAGACATGTCTGTTTAATGCTTACTCTACCATGGCATTTAAAATGTCCTATTATGCAACCGTTTAAGCTTGTTATACCTTTATATATATTTAAAAAAAAAAAAAAAGTGCTGCAATTTCGACATATATTGACCCTTTTTACTTTTGAATATAATCTTGATGTCCTGTTTCTATATGCTTGTACTATTATCACTGCACAAAAAAAAAGAAAGAATTATAAAACAACAACAATTCACATTTTATGGAATGACACAGCTGAGCTAAACATGTCTAAGGACATTGGGCAAGCTATTATCTTTTTTTTCCATTTCACTTTGTTTGATATACATTATACAGAGTGATGCAGGCTTACAGCGAGTTTTTATAGAGCATACTGAATTTAAGCAAAGCACAAGGAGGCAATTGCAACTCTCTTGTTTTAAACCAAGCTTGGGAACCTCCCCAGTTCTGTCCACTGGAGATCTCTCCTAGATTCCTTTCCCATAGAAAATTAATGTTGCAAAAAAAGTTAAACTCCATTGCAAAAGAGGCACGGTGCTTTTGAAAGGGGTGATCACGCTAGTAAAAATGGGCAACTAAACTAAAAGCAGAACATTCCAACGTATGCCCATGACTCACAGGAAGGGAGAGGCAGGCAGTGCCATGGTGTACCGCATCCTAAGTGGTACTATATAGGATCTCCAGAGCTTGACTGCAATTTAAAAAAAATTTGCACAACCGAAAGGCTAATCATATTTTATTTATTTATTTTTAATTCTGAACCATTTTTATTGTTTTAACTTTACATTGTATTCTTGATTATATTATCACAGTGAGAATATACTATGTTGCATTTCTTTTCGGATGCACTGTTGGGCAATAAAGTTGCCTCAGACGCAGACATGCTCTCTTCATCCTAGTAAGTGTTTGAGGTCAAAGGGCACCTGTTATAGCAAAATATTTAAAAGTTCCATCTAATGCTCCCGTTCAACATGATTCCAGCATCCAAGGCATTTATGAATTCTCAAAATGCCATAATGTTAACCTGTTCATTAAGAGGACTGGAGGCCACCGGTTTGGACTTGGAGATATTTAAATAGTGTCTGGACGTTTTATATGTCGCAAATGAAAATCACTCAGTTTGGGTTGTTCAATATCTAGACAGGTCAATTTGGCAGTCTAGTGTCTAACTGGTTGATGTGTATATATAGGCAACAAAAGAACTTTGGCTTAACCCCTTAACGACCAAACTGAAATAAAAGGGAATCATGACATGTCACACATGTTATGTGTCCTTAAGGGGTTAATGAAGCTGTTTTGGTGTATAGATCATGCCCCTGAAGTCTCAATGCTTAAAGGGACTCTCCAGTGCCAGGAAAACAAACCATTTTCCTGGCACTGCAGGTCCCCTCTCCCTCCCACCCCCCATCCCAAGTTGCCAAGGGGGTTAAAACCCCTTCAATGACTTACCTGTAACAAGAGCCAATGTCCCTCGGTGCTGGGTCAGGGTCCGCTCCCCGACGTCATCCGGCGGGGGAGACCTATTGAGCATGCGCGGATGGCGACCGGGGAGACATAATGCACATGCATGGCATGCGCGGCAATGCTTTCCTATGGGGATTTCAGCGACGCTGGAGGTCCTCACTTTTCATGTGCTATAAACACGGAAGACCGCTCTAGTGGCTGTCTAGTAGAGAGCCACTAGAAGAGGAGTTAACCCTGCAAGGTAAATATTGCAGTTTATGAAAACTGCAATAATTACACTTGCAGGGTTAAGGGTAGTGGGAGTTGGCACCCAGACCACTCAATGAGCAGAAGTGGTCTGGTTGCCTGGAGTGTCCCTTTAATTATCTGCCATTTTGGAGTTAAATCACCTTGTTTATACAGTCACAACTTCCTGCATATGACTTGAACTGCCTTCCTAAACACTTCCTGAAAAAGAACCTACATATTTTAAGTTCCTGTATGCCATGGTCTGTTTAACCTAAAATGTATTTCTGCTCTGTTAATAGCCTCATAGAGAATCCTGTGTGATTAAAGTTCAATTTAAAGAGTGGGAGATAAAAAGTTCTAAAGCAAGTTAACATGTGATTGAAAATGAAACAATTTTACCTAGTACACACTTAAAAATAAGTTAAATCTCAATGTATCCTTCCTAGTAAGATATATAACCTAAATTAAAAAAAAATTTCATGCAGGCTGGGGACGGTGTGACCAGGGCTGCATAAACAGAAACAAAAGTAACTGAATTCCTAAATGATAGAGAATTGAGCAGTAAGACTTCAGGAGCAAGCTCTCTAAACCAAAACTGCTTCATTAAGCTAAAGTTGTTTTGATGTCTATAGTATCCCTTTAAGGTACCCATAAGGTCTGAACAGGCCAATTATTCGGGTATCATTAAGTGCTGACCCTAAATAAGTATGTGCAACTCTGGGCACTCACTAAATGTCTCTTTTGTCATCTGATAAACAAAGACACAAGTGGGTTAATGCAGAGACAGCAAATTATCTTGTATTGGAGCAAATCAATGCCCAGTTATAGTCCCTCAGCTGGAACAATGAGCCAGTGTCCAAGAGAATGAATTGAATTCACAGCTGTACAAATCACCACCATGTACTGAGCAGAGGTCACCAGCAGGTGGCAGCAGCTGACTCCAAATGCACAGTACTGTATACAGTAATTAATAGCTGTTTTTATTAGAGATTCAATTGACAAAATGAAAACCTTAAATAGAGCTGTACCCATGAGTGCAGTGTATTTGCAGCATCTTTTATAATTACAAATGATCATTGCAGTGTTGGGTAGAGCAATGTACCATCCTTGTGCATTCGGTAAACTTTCTGGATAATATAGACGCTGGAATACAATTCTCATTACTCTGATGTTTGGTCAAAAAATGTGGGAGTTACACTACGTAAACTCCTAACACAAGCAGTGACACATCCACCCTTGTAAACAGTGCTGTAAAGTACTTCAGCTTGCTGAAATGATTGATGTTTGAAGAATGTGTCCATTTTTCACCTTACAAAAGTGCAGATTTCGATAGAAATTGGCACTCATATAAATTAACTTTGTTACAGCCCCCTGGGTTGTCAATCAGACGACTTGCCCTTAAAGGGGATATGTCGCACTCCAAACAGCTTGTGTTTATTAGATTGAGCATAACAAAAATGTATAGATTAGGAAAAAAAAAATATTTAAAAATTAAGTTTTCTCCTAGCTGTCAGTCAATGCCTTGGCATGCCAAGGCACTGACTGACAAGGGAGAGTAGAGAAGACCTTCTATAGAAGGTTCCTCTGTTCATCTCTCATAGTATGACGTTCTGAGGCCGGCACCCTGGCAACCAAGCCACTGTGCCGATGTTACTGACGGATGCGTCCCAAGCAGGGCAAATTAATGAAGAACAGAGGAAGAGTACAGGTGGAGCAGAGGATGACTAGGAGGTGTACCCAAAAGCTGATGCTGGAACAGAGGAAAAATGTGTAAATCTTTATATTTTACATTGAATACACAATGTATCTTTGTGATATATGGTGTACTCTATGTATATGGGAGGAATTGAAGGTAAGTTGAACGGACACAAGTCACAACTACAGCCTAATGTAGTAGTTCTGGTGTCTAAAGCTTGTCCATGCAGGCTTTTCCGAGTAAAGGCAGTGTTTACATTGGTGCCTATTAACACTTCTAGTGGCAGTTACTCAGACGGCCACTAGAGATGCTTCCTAGTCCAGTGCTACAAAGTGATGTGCATTGAGGTGCTTAACATTCACCTTTAGAGATGCACTGATTTAATGTATTGCTATGCCAAGAGATGCTAATTGGTGCAACATGATATTTTGCTGAAAATGCTTAATAGCCTCCCAAAGTTTTTCAAAATTGATAATCTCAGCCATGGAGGCAGAGCCAACTGCGGTAAGACAGGTACAGCGTGGGAAAACAGGTAAATCTTCTTTTCAGGATGATCGTAATGGGGCTGGTCACCTAAACAGTCACACCAGCACTTTAAACAGAGCTGAGGCAGAAATCATTTGAGACAATTGACTGGTGTAAAGGATGGTTTATTCACAGAACTGCAAAATTATAGCCACAATATCTGGTCAGGCCTGGAAATCGTTCATTAGTGTGTGGGGGCTCACTAGGCCTTATGTATAAGGAGGAGCACTGTAGAAAAATGCTAAGAAATGGAGCAGTCAGCAGGAATATTACATTGGTTTCTATGGCGATTGCTCCACGTTTGGAACCTTGTCTCAGAATCGGTCCTTCATACAGAAAGATCAAACAAGAAATTGCCTGGCTAGCATTGCTCCAACAAACGGCAGTTGTGATTAGCCAGCTGGGTGCCAGCTCATCACGAGAACTTAATAACCGAGGGTTAGAGAGGATTCGCCTCTAAATCCTTGGATCCAGCCAGGACCTAATTGAGAGCTCTTCCTCCCGCTCGGGATTCCTCTGTGCAGCTCTGAGAAGGATGCTGCCAAAGGAAACGGACAGGAAACACGGAGAGCTGTAGGAAATGTCTGGCCAGAAACTGTACAGATAAAACTGACAACCATCACTCTTTCAAAACCACCCATTTATCATTAAATTAAAGTCAGGGCCTCGGACACAGACATAGAACATGCACGCCCCATGTCTACCACCCAGAAACGCGCAATATTCGCAAGTATTTAACTCTTTAATGACCACACGCTTATACAAATCTCTTTTTATTATGACATGCTT